GATACTACAAAATCCCCATTCCCTCCCCACTCCAGGGGAAGGATACTACAAAATCCCCATTCCCTCCCCACTCCAGGGGAAGGATACTGCAAAATCCCCATTCTCTCCCCACTCCAGGGGAAGGATACTGCAAAATCCCCATTCTCTCCCCACTCCAGGGGAAGGATACTGCAAAATCTCCAATCCCTCCCCACTCCAGGGGAAGGATACTGCAAAATCCCCATTCCCCCCCTCCCCATACACACACACACTCCAGGGGAAGGATACTGCAAAATCCCCATTTTGAGGCCAGCCAGAGGTAGCGTTTGCCGGTTCTCCAAACTACTCAGAATTTCTGCTACCGGTTCTCCAGAACCTGTCGCAACCTGCTGAATTTCACCCCTGACGTTGGGGACCAGAATCCTCTGAAGAACACATGTGCTTTCTGTTTTTTGACATGACGTGAAGGTTCAAAGTTGGAAATGATTCCATTTGTTAGTGAATTGACGGAGTCATGAGCTGTTCCTGGTCAGGGAGGCTGGTAGGTCCAAAGAGAATCTGTGATCTTTTATGAGGGGTAATGTTTTTTTTTTCCTTCTGGAAAACAATGTTATGTCTGGCATGATATCATCTTCCAGAGCTTCTGCTATCCTGGAGATGATCCAAGAATGAGCTCCAGCTCTTTGTCTCTTTAGAGGCAGGGTTGTGTGAAGGACTTCATGTGTAGTGTCTTCTAGACCAGGGGTCTCATTAGAAACCCTTGTAGAGCTACAAATAATTCTAGACTCTTTATAGCTCAGGGTTCAACTGTGGGGTCCTCGGTGCTCTCTGAGCTTGGTTGTCTTCTTGCAGATGTTTCATTACCCAACTAGGTAACTTCATCACTGATAATGTTACCTAGTTGGGAAGAAACACACGAATCCCTAGTGCTGTGTAACGGAGTGAGCTCCCGTGACTTGTCCCAGCTTCTGCCAACCTAGCTGTTTGAAAGAACGTTAAAAAATGCAAGTAGGAAAAATAGGAACCACCTTTGGTGGGAAGGGAACAGCCTTCCGTGCGCCTTTGGCATTGAGTCATGCCGGCCACAGGACCACAGAGACGTCTTTGGACAGCGCTGGCTCTTCGGCTTTGAAACGGAGATGAGCACCGCCCCCTAGAGTCGGGAACCACTAGCACATTTGTGCGAGGGGAACCTTTACCTAAGAGAGGTGAAAAGATCCCCTTCTGGTCAGGCTTAGTCTTTGTTGGTCTTCCATCCCACGTACCAACCCTTTCGGACCCTCCTTGGTGATAATCAGTCAAGGTCAACTCAACCTCTTGATTAAGGAGCAAAAAGTTCCTAGAAGTAGCCAGAAGTGCTACATACCTCTCCACCAACTCCATTCTGCATAGCTTGGTCTCCAATGGCCAGTGATGGGTCAACAGCCCCCAACCTGTTTAGAAAGAGAAGAAGGACATTTAAAACTCCCTTTAGAGTTTTCCTCCTTTTAGCTGGAGGGAGGAAGAGGGAGGAGGCTGAGCAGTAACTTGATTGATCTGTTGATCCCAAAACAAAGGCTTTAAAACTCATTGTGCACATTTAACAAATCACCAAAGAGGCTAGCAATACAGACAATTAAAAGGCTCTTAGTTATTTCTCTTTTAGAGGCTGCATTGGCATGCCAGTGGGAAAGTGTTTATTTATTAATGGGGATTTCTATTACATCTGGGTAGCATCATCTAGATGGAGAGACAATTTTGGCTCTTTTAGGAGCGTAGTAAATTTAGCTGCTTCTCCCTCTCTCTCTCCTCTTTCTGTCTTTTCTCTCTCCCCTCTCTATCTCTCCTCTCTCTCTTATTCTCTCTCTATCTTCTCTCTCTTTCTCTCTCTCCCCCTCTCTTTCCTCTCTCTTTGTGTCTCTCACCTCTCTGTATCTCCTCTCCCTCTCTCTCTTATTCTCTCTCTTTCTCTCTCCTCTCTCTGTCTCTTTCTCTCTTTCCCCCTCTCTCCTCTCTCTCTCTGTATCTCCTCTCTCTCATTCTCTCTTTCTCTCTCCCTCTCCCTCCCTCCCTCCCTCCCTCCCCCTCTCCCTCTCGGAGTTTTTTCCTCCACTAGCTGAAAACTTCAGGGGTTTTTTTCTTTAAACCATGTAATCAAAACATTCCAAACAACATTTCTTGTTAATGAAAAGAAAATATAGGAATGTCCTTACTTAGTTTTCTCACATGGTATAGATTCTGAAGCTTAGAAAATCCTTCCCTAAATAGCTAATCTGAGTTAAAGAGCTAACTCTTATACCTGGCAACTTCATTGTTATTTTGAATTTCTGAAATCTCAACTTGGTCTTGGTCTTTAGGAGGGTCTGATGTCACAACATTTCATGCTGCAAAATATTTTCAAAAGTAATTTGATTTGGGGGAACTCTCCATCTTTCTAATGACCATTGACAAGGATTCAAATGGAGCAGGAGAGAAGACTAATAATCAAAGATCATGCTTTTTCAAGAGGCAACTGGACTTCCTTTTTTTTTCTCCTTGAAGAGGTTTCGCTTCTCGTCCAAGAAGCTTCTTCAGCTCTGACTGAGTGGTGGGGAATGGATCAGTCTGTCAGAACTTCAGCCAGAATGGAAGAGGCTTCGTGGATGAGAAGTCAAACATTATGAAGTACACACAACATTCATTAGGAAGTACACACCACAAGGGGGGTGTTTACAACATGTTAGCAGCGACGCAATATTTTGTCTGTTCGCTCTCACCCTCCCTCCACAGACAATCTGCTGACTAACAGAAGTTGTGTGTTCTATTTTCAGGTTGTTTCTTGTTATAGAATATGTGAATGGGGGTGACCTCATGTTTCATATGCAACGGCAGAGGAAACTTCCAGAGGAACACGCAAGGTATTGCGAATCTATCTATCTTTCTTTCTTTCTTTCTTTCTTTCTTTCTTTCTTTTTCTTTCTCTCTCTCTCCTTCCTTTTTCTTTCTTTTTCTTTCTTTTTCTTTTTCCTTTCTTTCATTCTCTTTCTCACTCTCTCTTTCTTTCCTTCCTCTTTCTTTCTTTCTTTCTTTCTTTCTTTCTTTCTTTCTTTCTTTCTTTCTTTCTCCAGGGAGTCCTTTCTTCTCATTAGGTGGCCAAAGCATTTG